GCTAAACCTGTCAAGAAAGATTGGCAATGTAAGAGAAAAGGACATCAGCAATGTTATCTACGTTTTACGAGACATTCTGTCGCTATTTCGCAGAATCATGGTGGAAACTAGACTTGACACAATATAGATATACTTTGTCAAGCTTTTACATCAGCCATTAGAGAGACATTTTCTATGTTTAAATGTCCTGTTTAAATGGCGATTCGGATTCGATTCAAATAGTTGCATTACTGATGATTTATTTTATTCGATATATTTAATAAATGATAGACGTTCAATAAAAAACCAACTCTTCTTCACGGCTGTTGGTTTCTAATCTAATCTTTCGTACAACCTTGACCTGGTGCCATCGTCCCTACATTAGCTTGTATTCTCAAATTAATCTCTGTTTTTGATTCGCTGCCGAGATGTTGAAGGGCTCGTTGAGCTGAAATATCGTGAAGTCCAGTGGCAAGTTTATTTGTCTTCTCTATCACTCTTTGGTGTTCCTCTGCCAGAACGTCAAATTTGAGTTTGTTCGCCTGTTGTCCCAGCTTCACGATTTTGTCTCGCGAATTTTCGATAATCGTTGTCTGATATTCCAGCAACTCCTGTTGTAAATCTGCCAACTCTTCTGATCTCCATTTGTTCAGCTCAATAACGTACTTATGTAACCACTCGTGATATAGTTCATCTTGTCTTGTTTGTCGCATCTTGTCAAATTCTAATAGACGCTTCTCGTTTTCTTCAGTATCATCAACGATCAATTTAAGCTTATCGTCGGCATCTTTTGATATCAGATCTAATCGCTGCGTGAGTTTGCCGTCGAGATCTTTATATGATTCCTGTATTGATTTCATTGAGACGGTAACATTTTCTGATGCAGCCAAGTTAAAACACGCATGTGTGCTGACCGTGAGTTGTGACTGAACATGTGCCGAATCAGCAGTTTTAGAATCGATCAGTGCTTTTGGCTGTCTGTCATCCGTTTTTCTCACCTTGAAAGAGGGTGAATTTGATCCCTTTCGTGATTGTGCTTCACCTGCCGTTTTAATCTAGATGTGACAATAATAAAAGCTGCTTGTAATGAGTATTAAGTAGCGTATTACGGACTTTGATTGGAAAGAGCTAACATTAGATGCAAGATATAAGCAAAATGAGATTAATAGTCAGGTGAAGAACTGTGAGTGATTGCAATACGAATAGTTAAGTTAAGAATGCTCAGTGTTGACCATGAAAATTTCACTTTTATGTCATTAATATTGAGTTTCTTAGATTAATATCACGAAACATATTCTCTGTCTGTTCTCAGATAGGTTCCTATTGATCCTCTTTAGATATAATTTAGATGTTAAACAAACTATGTGAATTTCGATTAAGGTCGCTAAATTATAGTGTCTTCTCTGAATAGCTGTGTAGTCCAAATAGCCATTGTAACAAACGTTTTTGACTCCCATGTCATTGTCTAGGATCTGCTGAAGCCTTACCTAATTAGATTTTGATGGGATGCATGGATAAAATCTAAACTGAACGTCCTCTAGACCTAGTCTAGCGAGGGTGGAATGAGTGCTCGCTTAATAAAAGGCGTCATAAAGAGCCATTGAAGGTTTTAGCGAAGATACTGAACTTTTTAAAGTTCAATTGCTCTATTACTAAATCATCAAAAGGTCTAGATAATTTAAAGAACCATTCCAAGTAAAAAATGAGTCCATATGTTTAGAATAATTTTCTATACAGTACTTTTTTTAATGCTGAATTCTTTTTTGTTAAGATGGTTTTAACATCAATCGCATGGACTACATACAAAAAAAGGTACCAAACGAATCATCTGGCGTTCGTTTGGGAAAAATGTTAGATATAGGAATACGCGGTTAAGCATAGAAATAAGGGGTTAGATATAGGAATAGAAGGTTAAAGATATGAATAAGAGATTAAATATAGAATTAATCAGCATTACTAGACTAAGTATATTTTTGATAGACTGCTTTTTATCAGGGTAGAATGATTATTGGAACAAAAAACTACAAAGTCGAGATAGAACCATATTGTGCTAGGACCCTAAAAGGTTCACTGTGACACTTCTTTCTCCAGAGTATGTAAATAATAAGAGTCAATCGCATCCAATCGTTACTGGCATAATGAGCACTTCCCATTGAACTTGAGCGCCAAATATTGAGGTACATCCTTGAAAAAGTGTGAAAAATACAGCATGATAAGAAATCGCAGAGAAACAGATGACTAAATATCATGCAAATGGATGAGTTCGTATTCACACGTGACATGCTGAGCTCTATGACAATGCTTGTTCTTTTCTATCGTTTCAATCAACGTTGTAAAACACAGCTGAACAAAACAATTGGTTTTTCGTTCTTTGAACTTATATATAATATCCTGCAACTTTATCTGCTCTCAGCTAATGCAGCACAGCTATTAAAAAACAGGTTTCTAACACTTATCTATTTGCCATTTTCATCAGAAAAACAGATTTTTTTTCGACTATAGGAAATTCCTATAGCGATTCCAGAAAATTCACAAATTTTGTAAGATATGATTGTGAATGAATTTGCAGCTAATTGAGAAGAAGTTTAATAAACTCCCTTCGTATAGATCGTGACTGGATTTTTGACGAGTGTCTGATACAACATGATATGTTGCGTTGGCCTAGTTCTCGTTTTCGATAGATCGAAAAAGGATGTGGGTGTGGGTATTGGTGAGGATCGTCTCTTAATTCTTACACGCCTATCCCATAGTCACAGCCACAGCCATACCCTACACCCTCACATCTCAATTCTGACTTCAAACTGATCTTAGTTTCGGTTCGACTCTCATGCAGGAAGTTCTCCAAGTGATCAATCGCTTTTTCTTAGAAACATACATGCCTGTATGTAGTTCACTGCGCTGTTTTCGAATATCAGAGTCTTAGCG